AAAATGACACCTTTACGATCGACCAATTCTGGACGCTTTTCCTTGACCGCTAAATTCAATTTGTCCAGTTGCTAATATTCACGGATAATAAAAAATAACATAATAATAATAATAATTTTATAATATAACATTTACGGATATCATAAAAATGGGAGTGAGATTAATATTATAAATAATATGTAATATTATATTATAATCTTATTATATATATTATAAATATAATAATAAATATATTATATATATATATATATATATATATATATATATATATTATATATTATATAAATATATAATATTATATTATAATCTTATTATACTATAATCCAATATTATAAATAATCTTCGACACTCGAGCTCCGCCGTTCGGCACCTTTCTCGACCATTCGGGCGCACGGGTTTGGCACGGCTTTTTCCGAGTTTCAGCGTAGTGCCTGTCTCTTATACACATCTCCGCACGCGTCTTTGTCCACTCGGCAAAAATTGATGGATATTGCTTGGGAATCGATGTTACACCCACCATATAGCCTGTCTCTTATACACATCTCCGCACGCGTCTTTGTCCACTCGGCAAAAATTGATGGATATTGCTTGGGAATCGATGTTACACCCACCATATAGCCTGTCTCTTATACACATCTCCGCACGCGTCTTTGTCCACTCGGCAAAAATTGATGGATATTGCTTGGGAATCGATGTTACACCCACCATATAGCCTGTCTCTTATACACATCTCCGCACGCGTCTTTGTCCACTCGGCAAAAATTGATGGATATTGCTTGGGAATCGATGTTACACCCACCATATAGCCTGTCTCTTATACACATCTCCGCACGCGTCTTTGTCCACTCGGCAAAAATTGATGGATATTGCTTGGGAATCGATGTTACACCCACCATATAGCCTGTCTCTTATACACATCTCCGCACGCGTCTTTGTCCACTCGGCAAAAATTGATGGATATTGCTTGGGAATCGATGTTACACCCACCATATAGCCTGTCTCTTATACACATCTCCGCACGCGTCTTTGTCCACTCGGCAAAAATTGATGGATATTGCTTGGGAATCGATGTTACACCCACCATATAGCCTGTCTCTTATACACATCTCCGCACGCGTCTTTGTCCACTCGGCAAAAATTGATGGATATTGCTTGGGAATCGATGTTACACCCACCATATAGCCTGTCTCTTATACACATCTCCGCACGCGTCTTTGTCCACTCGGCAAAAATTGATGGATATTGCTTGGGAATCGATGTTACACCCACCATATAGCCTGTCTCTTATACACATCTAGATGTGTATAAGAGACAGTTCCTCGACCATTCGGGCGCACGGGTTTGGCACGGCTTTTTCCGAGTTTCAGCGTAGTGCAATGGGTTAAGACGAACGACGATTACAAACAATCGAACTGCTGACTCAATATGTCTCTCCCAGTAAGACGTTCTTACGAATAATGCCCATAATAATAAGCACAGCCTCCACGCACGAAGTCGTGTTACGAGACCACCCTCCGATTCCCCAAATTGGTCGAACGATCGGCCGATTTAGTCGAGCGTCGCCGAGGACCAGCCTGGATCGAACAGTTCGGTCGCTTCGGCCATAGGATGACGGCAGCAGCGCTGGAAATGGTTTCGCGTCGACGGGGCGTGTTATTTTCCTGTGACGGGCTATAGGAGCGGCTAGAAAATTGCGTCTGCACGGAACGCGACGAAAAAAAAAAATACAAGAAAAATAAAGGAACATCGTTAACGAGATTCGCGGGGGATGAACCGGGACCGGGGGGCGATGGGCGAGGGGGCTGGCGCGCGTCAGATTTGATCCGGGGAGCGGGAGAGAGAGAGAGAGAACGTGTGCGCGCGTGTGTGTGCGTGATAGCCGGCGCGAGCGCGCTTCGGCGTGTGCGTGCGAGAGTGGGAAGCGCGGAGAAGCGCAACTTGCCGGCGTGTATCGGGTGTAATCGGTTTCCTCGGGGAATCCCACCCTCTCCGTTGGGTCGCCGGCGAAACGGGGGGATAATTTGCGGCGTCTCGACGCGGCTGCGTGGTCCAATCCGCGATACCAGCCAATCGGCTCACGGCTGCGCGGACTCCGGCTGAGAACAAAAGGATCTCTCCGCCGATAGAGAGGCGGCCGCGATCGCCATGCGGGGACCAGCAAAAAGGTAGCATCGATTACTTCCCCTACGGGCCAAGCAATAAAGCCTCTCTCTCTCTCTCTCTCTTCTTCTTCTTCTATCGAACGAGACTCTCCGTACCCCCGGCTCTCTCTCTCCCTCCCTCCGGCCACCCCCTCGAACTTGTCCGAGGATCCCTGTGTTTACCGTTGTTGCGGCGATTTTCGTTGACCCACGCCGCCACGGGTGGATCCCGTGCTGACTTATTAACCCCTCCTCCCCTCCACTCTTCGTCGTGGTTTTGTATCTCGGCTCCGTGCGATTTTATTCTCATACTTTCGCCGGGCTCGACGGATCCGGCGGCGTCGCGTTTCCAGATAAATGAAAAACGGCGGCTGGAAGTGCAGTCATTTTTCTCCGATTCGCGATCAGATTGCGCACAAAAATGGACCATTTTGGGGGGATGCGATTTTGTTCGAGATTTGTGTGTTGCTTTTTGTAGTTGTTGATATCTGTAACTGGGAACTGTGAAAACCAGAGGGAGAAATTATTTGTAATTGTAACAGGTTCGGGCGCGTCAGAAACGTTTTATAAAAAAGGTATTATACTATATAAAGTATAAAAATTATTATTACCATAATAAATATATTATATAATATTATTACTATACTATATAATTAAGTTCGCAATGAATTTCACTCGGATCAAAAATTACACGGATGAATTTTACGATCGAATTTCGTTGCAATTCCGTTTCGAATTGCGCATGCCCGAGCAATCGAGCATTTTTAGAAGCTATTTCTACTCATCCAGCACGTCGGGAGGAGTCAAGAAAATGGCCGTCTTCAGCCGTCCGTCATTAACGCGTTGACGTGTCAATTTAAGCTTCGACATCTCGCCGACCGCATAATAATTGCCGCATCCGGGTACGAACGAGCGATTACAATCGAGCCCATAAATATTTCGCTCTGTTTCGAAGGCCTGTCGCAGCCGTTCGGCTCGCTTGAACGAGAAAGTAAAGTAACGTTCGCCAAGACAAGTAATGACGTTCGCCAAGACAATTTAGAAGACGTTTCGAAGACGTCGTTTCTACATATAAGCCGGATATCGTTCGAACGTCCGAGACAAGACGTCAATTTTTGGTCGAAAGACGTTCGTGCTTGAAAAGGGCGTAAAACGAACGTCTCTAAGACGTCGTCGCGATCGTGACCGTGATACAGTAATATCCCTCTAATTGACGCTCAGATTGCGCACAAAAATGGACAATTTGGGAGGAGGAGATGCGATTATTCGAGCCTTGCGGTTCGTTTATTATACAGGTTGTCCCAAAAATGTCTCTTAATCCGAAAATGGCGGGTTTCTCGGATCATTTGAAGCAACTTCTTCCTTTGCAAGAATGTTCTCCGAGGCACCGATAACGAGTTATTAAAGAAAAACAGTGACCAATAAGAATCGAGTACGTCTGACGCGAGGCGGTCCAGCCAACCAGCGCACGAAGCCCAGTTCCGCTCACTGGCTCGGTCGCCTCGCGCCAGCCGAGCTCGCTTCTCATTGGTCATTGTTTTTAGTTAATAACTCGTTAACGGTGCCTCGGAGAAAATTTTTGTAAAGGAAAATGTTGCTTCAAATGACCTGTGGAACCCACCACTTTCGGATTGCGAGACATTTTTGGGACACCCTGTAGTTATGAATCGATTTACAAGACTCGAATAATCGTTCTCCGTTTCCCAAATTTTCCCATTTCTGTGCACAATTCGAGCGTCAATTAGAGAAACATTACCGCACACATTCGAAACGCGCGTCGGCTAGCGCGTTTTATCCGCATGCCCGGCGTATTTTCTCCGGCGATCCCCCCAGTGATCCGAGCCGATTCTGTTCGCAGGTGGCAAAGAGGACGAGCCGAAGAGCTCGTCGTCGAGCACGCTGAGCTCGGCGCAGAGCAAGAAACAGCGAAAGGCGCGGACGGCCTTCACGGATACTCAGCTGCAGACCCTGGAGAAGAGCTTCGAGCGGCAGAAGTATCTGAGCGTACAGGACAGGATGGAGCTGGCTGTGAAACTGAACCTGACGGACACCCAAGTGAAGACGTGGTACCAGAACAGAAGGTAGGATCTCGACGTTGACGGGCATTTGTCACGGTTCCTCGGGAATCGCGCGAATCGCTCGCCTTTCTTTATTCCCGCGGGGGACAATGCGATACAATTCCGCTAATCCGGCGGAATAATAAACAACAGCTCGCGACGGGGCAACGGGGTGAGATGTCATCGGTTTGCGAATTCTTTCCGCCGGTTTTATCGGCGGCCGCGAGAGCCTGGACGTTCGTAAACCTTCGAGAGAACGATCGAGCAAATTATATCCGGCGACGGCGCACAGTCGGATCGAAGATTTTAGCGACTCTTTGACAAAAACTTTTCGAATGCCACCGAATTTCTCGATCCAGCCCGCCGTGCGGCGTCGACGACGACGAAGCAAAAGCGCGAGGCCATCGGCTCGACGACGCGATTTCGGATTAGAAGCGCGCGGCAGACTTTCTCGGACTGTACAGCCTGCTCGTCCATTAACCCCTTAACTTGTACGCTCGAGTTAATTCGAGCGCGCTAAACGGGCCAAACTGTGCACACTCGAGACAATTCGAGCGGCGTTGTATTTCATGCTGCTACAATTTTTCGCGCTCGAATATAATCGAGAATTGAAAATGACAATGCGAAAGCAAAGGAAAGAAATCGTTTTATCGATATTTATCATTTACATGGGATTGCAAGCTGTAACACTTATTTATTCGAGAATAAAATATAGCCTTTTCCCATGGAACAAAAGCGCAGTATATCAAAATTCTTCAAAAATTCTTCAAAAAATTGTTTCATTTTTGGCCGGTCTTTTTCAAAAAAACTGTGCGTTAAGGGGTTAATCGGACCGGTCTCGTAACTGACAGTCGAATCGTTAGACTCTGGGGTCCTCGTTAACGATTCCCCCTCCCCCTTCGAGCCGGGGCCCGAGCCGCTTGTCCCGGCTAAACGGGCCCGAACTCGCGCAGTCACGTGTCGCGGGTGTTCCGACGCTAATCGCCGGCAAAAATCGGCTTCGAAAAGCCGAGAGAACGTTCTCCGGGGAGCGTCTCGCGCGGGGTCCGCTCCGCGGAAGAAGATCGTCTCGCGGAACCCTCCCCATGGAAACTCGCTCCCTTCCAGCGAGCGCAAGCTGCTCGACCCTTGACGCCCGGCGGAAACAATCTCGCTTCTGTTCGGGCCGCTTGAATATTCTTTTGAAATTTATATTTTCCATAAGACTGCGGCAGACTTTGAGCGTCCTCCGCGACACGGGGTCAAGGGGTTCGCAGGCATTTCAATGTCTGCGGATTAAAATGCAAGCGGCCTAATGTAATTGAATCGCGCCTCTTTTCAATTAGACGTTGACTCTAGACTGGCCGGGGTTTAGCCGCGACCCTGGACAAAGAAAGGGGTGTATCGTTGGGGCAGGCGAAACGGATCCATCCAGGTGCCGGCGATCTTTAGCATCCCTCGGCGGTTTCTTAAATATCGGCGGCTAACTAGCGCGATGATCGGCGAAAGAGACCGTCGACGGACGAGGCGCCGCCGAATGACTCGTAGAAACGGCGGGCCTTAAAACTTTGACCACAAAGGATGCCGCTGGCCGACCTGTAATCGACTGCTGGTACAGCTTCGCCTAATCTTCGTTGAAGGAGCCGACGGATTTCGTGCGATCGTTTTCTCGCGAACGAATGCCGGAATCGGGAATCTCGGGATGTTTCTCGGGCTCGATGCGACAGGGGACAAATAAAAGGGAAATAAAATATAAATAGAATGAAAATAGGATATAAATAATATGTAAATAAGATATGAATAAAATAGAAGTTGACTGCATCCGTTGCAGGAAGAGGAGACTGAATAGTGTGCTCATTTTTTTTGCATCGCTTTAACAGATTAAAAGTAAGACCTTGACATTTAAACATTTTTTAAATCTTTCTTCCATCTTAAATTGCAACTATTCGATTTCGTAAATGCTCGTCAATGCACGTTGTGAATGCACAAAATCCGCAATCTAGTGATCGTGCAACATCGGTTTCCAAATTAGCGAGGTTTGAAGAATATTCGACGACGTCGCGCCGTGTTTTCTAACGAAATTAGCCAAAGTGCAATTTTCAAAGTGCGTCTTCCGAATATATTTTCAAAGTGCATTTCGGTGCATCGAATGCCGTTTGTGATATTCGAATATCGCCCATAGTTACTGAGATATTCACCGAGAAAGAGCAACTCTTAATTTCAATTTTGAATATTATCAACATTCGCTTTCCAATCCTCTCGTATATTAAAAAATTATTAAAAACAATACATAATAATTTTAAATTTGACCTATATTATATATCTTAAATAAACTACTGAACTACTAAACTAATCTTGATCCGAATTATCATCATAAATACCTACACATTATACAAATATCCTATTCACATAAAAAATTAGTTCATTGCAATACGTATAAAAACGACAATACGCGAACGTAACTCAAGTCAATCGCAATGTCAATCACTGTCAATTACATCATCGATTAATCACAGCTTCCTCCAACAAGATCGTTGAGCCGTCGAATCATTTAATTACAACGATCCACATTTAACTATCAACATCGCTATCATTTCATCGATCGAAAAAGAGCGCCAATTTTCATTAACACTTCCACGACCGCGCTGGAAACCTCAAAAATTTTTATAAAATTGAAATATTTCATTCGAATGAAACAAAAATTACGTAGCAAACTTATATGGCATCAGTTACTTCTTCAGCATTCGTACTTCTTGCAAATCTTAATAAAATTAAGCAATTATTTTTAATTTTCCCTTAACAGAGACCGCTTTCTTATTTCGCAATTCTGCAAAGTTCCGAGACTCTTTCGTGGAAAACGCTTGAATAAGTCATATTATCGAAGCAAGTTTTACAATAAAAATTTCACAAATTCTAAATAAATTCGGTCTTCTCACTTTTGTGAAGCAGTACTCACCAGTTAGTATCACTGCTTGGTAGGTTTAGTATTAATCATCCATTGGATCATCGATCGACTCAATTAAAAAACGGGAAGATTTCCCCATTTGATTAGCTAAGTGTTAAAAGATCGCACGAAGTTCCGTGAACAATCGTGGCAAACTTTTTCGGGGGAAAAAAGCCACCATTTTGCGTTCGCTGTAGCATTTTTCACTTACGCGCGTTACCGGAGTGGAGCAATCCGCGACAATCGGGCGAATACGGCACCGTGTCCCGAGACTAATTGGCGGACGAAAGTCGCGAATGATTCGCCGATCGTAAAGTAATCCTGGCCGGTTCTTCGGGGGGCAAAAAGCCGGCTTTTTTTCGGGGATCGTTCACGCTGTCGGCGATTACCGGCGCGGCTCGTCTCGTCTCGACGCGGCGCGGCGCGGCGGTTCCGGAGCGAGAGGAGTACATACATGACTGTCGAGATGCAGCCGCGAACCGTTCGCCGTATACACCGGTGATCCTTGCGTTTAACCACGTAAACAGCGCCTTTGTTGGCCGCCGCGATTTCCATTTACGGATTCGATACGCGCCGTCACGGAAGAACTCTCCTAACACACTCTGGATCGTCCCGGCGCGGCGCGGCGCGGTGCGGCGAGCCGCGCGGCCTGACGAGCATCCCAGCATCCCCCGATTGACATGCACAAAGTAACCAAAGGTGTCGAGCCGGCCACGATCGATCAGCTTCTTCGGCGGCTTCTTATCGCGAGAGCTCCCGGAGCCCGTTTACAAAGTCCGGCCCGTTTTCATTCACCCGGGGGGCGTGCGTCGGACCATGATTCGGGCGTTTCTTTGTCTCGGGGCCGGCTTGTTCTCGCTTTTTCTGCCCGACACGCGGTCTGTATTAACCCTGGCTCCCAGGACCCGGGTCGTGATCGACCCTGAACCACCGGTCGCTGCTTCGTCGGAGCTTCGTTCTTTTTTTAACGCGTCTAGCATTCGTTGGCTACATTTGCTAGATTCAATTATTGCGAGGCGATTATCGTGGTTTTAGGGAAGATTGAAAGGGAATTATCAAATCGAATGATCGGAATTATTGAAATAGTTCTTATTATTGTTTTGCGACTGTCGGACCGGTCGGTTTTTGTTATTGTTTTTTTTTGTGAAACGCTTTTCAATTGCTCTCGATGGAGTTGTTTGAATTCTGTGAGGCAAGGAGTATACGTCTGCCAATAGTAATAATAATAATAATAATAATAATAATAATAGTAATCATAAAAATAACATTAATAATAATAATAGTACTGATAATAATAATAACATTAATAATAATAGCAATAGTAATTGTAAAAATAACATTAATAATAATAATAATAATAATAGTATTAATAATAATAATAATAATAACATTACTAATAATAGCAGTAATAATAATAATAATAACATTTCTAATAATAATAGTAATAATAATATTTATTGATTCAACGGTAAAAAATCTCAGCATTAGAATAAGATGACAATATGTCACAGAAGTAGCATATAAAAAATAAAAAACAGAAATAAAGTAAGTGATACAACAAAAAGATACAACAGAAGATAAAATAAGCGATCAAGATAGCCGAATAAAGTGGAAGAATAGAGAGAAAATAACAGAGAATAACACGGCACTAAATCGTCGAAACAGCAGAAAGAAAGAAATAAGATTAGGCTAAATGGAAAGAGCATGAGTAAGAAGGAAACGAGAAATTAAGGACGAAAGAGTGCTGGTCAACGGAGTCGTGGGAAAAAGAAAATAAAGATAAATCATTGTGCAGCCGATGCAAATGGGTTAACGACGTCTCGGCGAATTTCTCTAAAAATCGCTGCTCTCCGAATTCTTATTAAAAAGAAAAGAAAATAAGAACAAATTATTCGGCTCGTTCCAGCTACTTCAAGATTGGTGAAAGCCGACGATCAATCGAAGAAGGATTCTTCCACAAATTAAATCTCGACCCAAACACTTCCGATTAAAAGGAAAAAAAATCATAAAGAAAAGATCGAAAAATCGAAAAGTCGAAAAATCGAAAGATCGAAAAAGGAGAGGTGAAAAAAATTCGAAAGAAATTCGCGAGAAGGAATGG